TATAGGGAAAGGAAGCCTGATTTATGCTTTCCAGATAGGTCAGAGGTGAGTGAAAATATGAAGGAATCACATAATATATCCAACTAACTATCTTAGTTTCTAGCAGTCTTATAACCTTAGCAAGTCCTTTTATACCTGCAGGTCTTTACTTTCTCATCAAAACACTGAGACAAAAATACATGGATAAAATAGATTAAAATGCATTCTGTAAAAAAAAAAAAAAAAGTTCAGCGGAACTGCAAACAGAAGCAATGATTTCCTTAGGAACTTCAAAGTTCTAGATGTATTTGAGTCTCATGCTTTTTTCAAATTTCTTTCCAGGTTCAGCCTATAGCATTTCTTCACCTTATTTCAGAGATTTTTGAGCAACCATATCCCCAAACTCCCACTTCTTTTACCACAATGACACTGGAATACTTTAAAAATAGCAGCAGCATTTCCTCTACCTTCCTGTTGAGTGGCATACCTGGACTAGAGCACCTACACATCTGGATCTCCATCCCATTGTGCCTTATGTATCTCATCTCCATCCTGGGAAACTGTACGATTCTTTTTATCATTAAAACAGAGCCCTCACTCCATGAACCTATGTACCTCTTCCTATCCATGCTGGCTCTGACAGATCTGGGTCTTTCTCTTTGCACCCTCCCTACTGTGTTGGGTATTTTTTGGATTGGTGCACGAGATATTGGACATGATGCCTGCTTTACTCAGTTATTTTTCATCCATTGCTTGTCTTTCCTGGAGTCTTCTGTGCTACTATCAATGGCCTTTGACCGCTTTGTGGCTATCTGTCGGCCCTTGCACTATGCTTCCATTCTCACCAATACTGTCATTGGTAGGATTGGTCTGGCTTCCCTGGGGCGCAGTGTAGCTCTAATTTTCCCATTGCCCTTTATGCTCAAAAGGTTCCCCTATTGTCACTCCCCAGTCCTTTCACATTCCTATTGTCTCCATCAGGAAGTGATGAAATTGGCCTGTGCAGACATCAAAGCCAATAGCATCTATGGCATGTTTGTCATTATCTCCACAGTGGGTGTAGACTCGGTGCTCATTCTCTTCTCCTATGCTCTGATCTTGCGTACTGTCATGTCCATTGCTTCTAGGACTGAGAGATTCAAAGCTCTTAACACCTGTGTTTCCCACATCAGTGCTGTACTCCTCTTCTACACACCCATGATTGGCTTGTCTGTCATCCACCGCTTTGGGAAACAGGCACCTCATATAGTCCAGGTGATCATGGGCTTTGTGTATCTTCTAGTCCCTCCCCTGATGAACCCCATTGTCTATAGTGTGAAGACTAAACAGATCAGAGATCGAATAACTCACGCCTTTTGCTGCTAGCTAGAGCTGGTTTTTGAGGCACTATTTCCACTAATACAGAGAAAATATATTTCACAAGATTCTTATTCTGATATATGTTGGGAGAGGTAATGAATACAATGCAGTATGATGTGATAGATTGTATTTTTCAAAAAATTACTCCAGAAATATTATTAATATTACATTCTCTTTCATAAATTTGCCATTTATCTAAGAATTACAATCTATTTCTTCTTCAATTGTAACTTGAAAGAACTTTGTATTGCCTTAATGAATTAGATATTGTAGAAATGACCCTATAAGATTTTCAAAGCTAAGTCATAAAAGATTATATAACTTCCATTGGCATTCCCTCTCTATCTCCTTCTTTACTGTTCCTGTTCCTATATTTTGTCAATAAGTTTCAGTCAATTATTTCTTTTTGGACCCAGGAACTTAAAAATAGAAAGCCCAGACCATGTGAAGATAACAGATACAGGTGTCTCATTCAGTAAGTTTAGCAAATATCTTAGATTGAACTGGAACTTTAGTAAACAACGAGGGAATAATTCTTTAAGTTATTTTCGTCTCTAAGTACCCAGTCATTCCAACAGGCACTCTATGAAGCATGCAACATTACTTAGCACACAGTCTAATTTGCAGGTTTTCAAGTAAAACTAATGCTTTTTAAGACAAAAAAAATTGTAAAGATTTATTACAGGATAAAACTGTGAGCTATATCTTTCTTTAGTTTGGGGAAAAGAGTTTCAAGAAATGTTTTTCTGAATTGACCAGGATAGAAGAGTCATGTAGAAGTTAGGGAAGAATTGATAATAGATGCAAAATTTCTTTCTAGTTTGAAGAAACAACATGTGCTATTGAAACTCACATGACTACAGATAAAAATTTATTTTTAGAATAATAATTGTCAATATAGTATTTGTCATTTGAGCTTAGAGGCATTAATGAATAAAACAGACCTATGCTGTCAAAGATAACTTAGAATATCTAAATCGAAGGAGGAGAATATGCTTCTGCACATTTTCATATAAACACAAGAAGGGGGATTACAGAGTGCCAAAGATAAAATCTCAATGAGGTGACTTACATGGAGTCAGTTTATATGTCTAGAAGCTTACAATCTGATGATGAAAAATACAAGTAAATAACTGCATCACCAAGTAAAATATGAAACTTACAGCTCCAAGTATAAGTGAACAAAAATAAATGAATGGAAATTATCAATTTCTAGAAAAAAGTCAAGTTTAGCATAAATATTGTTTGATAGAGAATAGCAAATAATATCAAGCAAATAAGCAGTGAATTTCAACGTACAATAACATCCTAATTTTTAACATGCACTTGTGCACATATAGTTTCTAGTCAATGGGATTGTGACTGATTAATATTTTCTGTGTTTGTCATCATACTGACAAAACTTCAAGATATTATGTGATATGTGTATAAAATATTATCAGAAAAATCTCTAAGTATGTTAAATGAATTTGGGTCTTCTGTACTTTTGCATTATAGTTGTGTTTAATCCTGTTGAAGTGATAGAAAACCAACTAGATTTATTCAGCAGCAGCTAAAAAGTGTAAAATTGAAATTCAAAATACTTAATTACATTATAATGAGGTATAATGACATAACCACAGCTACATAAACACAAGAGAGTTTCTGGCTATAATTCTGGTCTTAAAACCAGAAAATCTGTGTTTTGTCTTCATTTATAGTGCTTTCTGAATGAACATACACAGGTTTTTATCCACTTAAAATGTTGTTTATTGCTGCACACCTGTTTAAGAAACACCAGAAAAATATCAAAGGCATTTGAATATACAATATATAGGAGAAGCCATGCAAATGATTTTAACTATAAATTATAAGTGGATATAGCTTTTCATTAGGAGATAAAAAAATTAAGATTTGAGTTTGCAGTTATTTTTATCATGCATTTACTAGGTAAATAGAAATCTGAGGCAAACAAACTGGAGTTAAGAAAGGCTCTTTACTATCTGCCAAGAATACGAGGTTGTAAGGAAAGGAGATAAGTGCCTTGGATAAGAGTATCTGCTGGGTCAACAATGGTGGGCTCAGTATTCAACCTGAAGGCGGGAGGAGGAGCCAGTGCTGAAAGATGGGAGAGGGCTATGTATGAAACCTTATTAGTAACAGTACTGTAAAACATAGTACCAAAAGTCATTTAAAGAAAACTGTCTCTCATAGAGGCAGGTTGGTGGACGAGAGAAATTGGGGTAGGAGGTACATTGATAAGGGAAGCAGACACTGGTGAAGGGATTGGTGTTAAAACATCACATGTCTGAAATCAAGTCATGAGTAACATTGTAACCACAATGACTAGCACTGTAGCACAGTCCTGTTGTTCATGGATTAGCTAGAGCAGGCACCAGTAACATCTCACAACAAATTGTGAGACTTGTTACTGTTTTTGGCATATTGAATAGGTCGCGGGGAGCTTGCCAGGCTTTGCCATGCGGGTGAGATACTCTCGGTAGCTTGCTGGGGTCTCCGAGAGAGGTGGAGGAATTGAACCCGGGTCGGCCATGTTGGCCATGCGCAAGGCAAATGCCTTACCCACTGTGCTATCTAGCTCAGTGGTAGAGCATTTGACTGCACAATGACTAAATAAAATTAAATTTAATTTAATAAACAAATAGTATATTTTGAGTCTACTGTGCCTAGACATGAGTTATCCTTTGTAGAAATAAAGTTTTGTTTGTTTGTTTTAATTTACTCTGTGGGAAAGAAAAGTTAGGAAAATTTTCACATCATGCCCTGAGGTTACTTCAACAAAAAAACAAGTATTGTTAATTAAAGTAGTAAGAAAATCCTATTTAAAAGTTTAAAGTAGCAATGAGAATGGGTTCAAGGGGATTCAGGTACATTAAGTAAAAGCTCTGCTAAAGTTAAGTAAACACCGCAGGGCATGGTATAATCAGAAAACAGGTAAGTCATGGGAAAATTAATGAAAGAAAATAAATGGTTTTATATATTGAACTCTGTAGAGGTATAGGAATAATGGTTGAAACTAGAGAAGCTTCACTTTTGCTGGAGAGAAAGGGTATTTAGTCTAGAGAATCCAGGAGTGTATATGTAAGAAGATGGAACTCTAGAGGTCACACTTGGAACTGAAATTAGTGTATAAACATTTCCCAGTTTTAACTTAAACATCTCTATGAGTGTATCATTTTACACACATACAATTTTGACTTATCAGCTCAAGGAAAAATATTCTCATTGACTCCTGGAAAATATTAACACAGAAATAAATACATTTGTCTAGTTAAATGCAGATATAAAATTATTGTGATTTGTATACACACTTTCTAAAACTTGTCATTTTTTAAGCAGATAGTTATTCACCTGGAATAAAAATCTTTTCATGCACAACTGACCAATGTAATGTGCTCATGAGTCCATATATTTAGAATCTTTGTAAGATACATACAGAAATTATTTGGTTTTGAATTTTTAGTAATTCAAAATTTTCATGATACTAAATAAGATGGGTCAAAAATTTTGATAAGCTTAAGGAGTAACTGTTTTCTTCTCCTATAATTTACTTGGAACAGTCTCAGCAACATAAATGACATTGACCCATATCATCTTTCCCATTAAGCATAATTAATACACTGGCAATTTCTCTCCTTCAAGCTGTTCTTTGATATGGGCCTTCACATGCTGGACCCATGCACTCTTTTTGAATGGAGGAGTTGGAACATAGCCCGGCGAATTGTCTTGGTCTTCAGACTGTAAATAACAGGGTTCAGTACCGGTGGTAAGAGCAAGTAAGTATTGCCCAAAATGCTACAGATCATCCTTGGGGTTGAGTTGAGGAGACGGTGTGTCAGAGACAAGCTGATCATTGGCACATAGAAAATGGTGACAGCACAGATGTGACAGACACAGGTACTGAGAGCTTTTTGCTGCTTTTTGGGAGCTACAATGCTCAGGACAGTACGGAGAATCAGGACATAGGAGAAAAGAATGAACAATAAGTCAGTGCCAGTGAGATACAGTTGAAGGAACATGCCAAAAAAACTGCTGATCCAGGCATTAGAGTGTGTGTATTTGATCATATCTGGATGGTAGCAAAATGGATGGGAAAGTTCTTTGCCTCCATGGAAAGATACGTTCCTTAGAGCTAGAATCATGGGAAACATAAAAACCACTTGCCGTATGCAAATGACTAGTCCAATCACCATGATTATCATGTCTGTGAGGATGGTGGCATATTTCAGTGGGTTACAGATAGCCATGAAGCGGTCAAAGGCCATGGCTACCAGCACTGAGGACTCCAGGAAGGAGAAGGCATGGACAAAGAACATTTGAATGAGACAGGCTTTTAAGCTGATCTCCAAGACGTGAAACCAAAGTACTCCGAGCACAGTGGGGAGAGTTGAGACGGTCAGACACAAATCAACAGCTGATAGCATAGAAATGAAATAGTACATGGGCTTGTGGAGACGCCTCTCAATAATGATGACATACAAGACCATGCTGTTTCCCAGGAGGGCAACGGAATAGAGACAGCAGATAGGGATGGAGATCCAGACAGTAGCAGGTTCCATTCCAGGGATTGCAGTGAGGAAGAAGTTGGAGGAAGAGGTCGTGTTATTGAAAATGACCATGGTGAGTTGAGGGTACACTAAGAAAAAGGAGACAACAATGATGGTATTTATCATATTTTGGCCTTATTTTAAAGACTGATCTATTTAAACGTTTTCTGAAATCATACTAATTTCTCTGTATTCAAAATCCACAATTATTTGGGATACCTAAAATTTTGAATTTTTTTTAATTTTTAGGATTTTGAATTTTCTTTCAGATCCTCAGCCTATTTTACTTCTACTTTCCCAATTATAAGCTCACTCTCTCTCCAGGATCATTTCCATCCCACTGCTCAGACTATCAGATTAGCCCTGACACAATTGTATTACTGAAAGATTGTGTAGACAAACATATACACACCAGGGAATTCTTTTGCTTGAATGGTCACTACCATCTCCTACTACACTCTGTTAGAAGACTACTTCTTTTTGGTACCAGTACATTTTTTATTCCTTTTCCTATAATAAAATAGTTCCTATAATCCTTCCTTCTCTCACTTTGCATCTTCATGAAACTTGGATTTATTTTGTGTTCTATTTCTCCTCTGTATAATTTTCTAAATTTTTAAATTCAACTTAATTCGCTGAGAATTGTTCGCTTTTTCTTCACCTCATATCTTGGAGTAATTATTTCTACTCTTCTTTATTCTCATCATGTGGCCTTAATTTCCCTCAATGCCTCCATGGAAAGATACATTCTTCAAAGCTAAAATTATGGTAAACATAAAAACCATTTGCCATATGCAGATGACTAGTCCAATCACCATGAAAGCCTATTAAGTTCTGTAAAATATCAAGTTTTGGGATATATAATTTTAGATATCCTAATCTGGGTATAATAGATAATCCTAAACATTACACCAATTTACAATTCATGAAAGTCATGTAAAAAATGGCTTTGTAAAATTGTATTCTAAGAGAAGAAAGTAATAGGATGGGAACTAATAACCAAAAGGGAATCAAAAAGGAATAAAGGAACAGTCAAACTGAGATGACATCACAAATTAGAATATTAAGTAGTTCACTGAGTACCTAAATTCCACAGAATGGTATCAAAATGGAGAAAGAGTCTAGATTTAAGATGACCATTTTAATTCTATTCAGGACTTGTTCAAGGATGGGGGAGGAGGGTCATAATTTTCTTGTTGCTCCTGTTGTTATTGTTTAGATAATTGTCAAATGTTCAACCAGGTTGTTTGATTGAACATTTGATAAAGGCTAACAAGAATGAACATACCTAGCTCACTTACTACATTGATATAAACAGTCATATGAATCCTTATCTCTTAGTATGTGGTTTTCTATTCAGTGTCAGCATAAGTACAAAACTTTTTCTAGTACCAGATCTTGAAGTTTCTATGTGAAAAGAAATATGAAATATTACTAGCTATTTTCTCCCCCTCTTCCTTTCTTCTGAGAATGATTTAAAAATATAATCTGTTGCCACTCAAAATAAAAAGAAAATATTAATTTATTTTGTGTTCTAATATCTATAATTCCATGATTTGGTTGGGAAAAAACTCTATGAATCAGAAAAATTAATGACAATTCAGATGTAGATGACAAACATGCTGAATTAAAACAACTGGTTACATCATAAAGATCTATTTTAATTCTAATTACTATGCAGATGGAAAAAGGGATAGAATGAGTTAAAAATATTATCCTTATTCTCAACTAGAATTAAATAATGTGAAGGAACATGGCAAATATTATGGAAAGGCTATTACTATATAGACATTTTTTTAAAAAAGTCTTTATAACCAGGCAGGCTAATAAAAGTTGTTGATAATTGTTTCATTTCCCCTTTTCATCTTGTAAATGCAAATATTAAGAATGAATCTTCTTATCTATAATAACCACCCAGGAATCTTTCTATAACACAAAGTCGTTCTGTCTGTTGACTCTTCCAATAGTACCTTGCTTTTTAACCATTCAAACTCTCTTACTTAGTCATGTTTTATTTTTCCTCTAAAATAATGACTCTCTCACAGACATAGGCATTCATTTTTTTTCCTCAGAAGGTAAGCACAGATATAGATACAGAAAAAATAAAAACTGAAACAAATTTTCATGGTTTCTGAGTGGATAGGAACTGCTTGATAGATGAATACAGACCAGAGAAATACAGATTAAAACAAGTATTGAATGAAGGATCAGAAGAAAATCTTTTTCCTAGATACTAAGGAACCTGAGGATCATATTAATCCACTCATTGATTGGGAAAAATGAAAGTTAAACAAAAATATTTCTATTATGTGTGTTGTTTATTGTTCTACTCATTTTATGCATAACTATATAATAAAAACCTTGATTACAGATATTCCTTTGATTTTAAAGAAAGGGATAGTTTAATTATATAAAAATACAACATTAACATATTTATGTACAGATTCAAATGTTAAAGCACATGTAGAACTCCAAATTCTATTATTTTTTTTCCTAAGACACAGACAATCTGATAATTCAGACTTATGTGAGATATTTTACAGTGGGCGGTTTTATTTCCTTCAGCTAAAATGCATCATTGCTTATATTCTCTCTCTCTCTTTCTTTCTCTCCCTCTCTCTCTATATATGTGTGTATATGATTTAAAGGAGAAATAAGTGAATGAGAGAATAATGTCTTCATGTCTTTAAAAATAATATTTGCAGTTTCACAGACCATGTTTGTTTAAGAATATGTTGTAGATATCATATGCTTATATTTTATGTGTTTATGTAGGTCTATATTTTATTCTAGTGTATGTCAATATTCTATTCTAGTGGAAAAAGGAATCTTAGGATAAAAAAAATAATCAAGAAAGAAAACAAAAGAAGACGCTTGATAAACTAAATTCCAGTAATTCTCTGAATTTTGAATGTGTCTCATAAAGGACAAAAAAGACAAAACTGGATGATATGAGGGGACAGGAGATGATTAGAATTAGTGAATCATTTTGCTGGTGCAGAGCTGTTAATAGCAAATGCAAGTATATAGGCTATAGGAGAAGCAGTGGGCTAGATAAAAGACTGTGAAGATCCACTCAGCTCAATACCTTGCTGATTAGGTTAATATCCCTGATTTTTGGAATGACCCATCCTATTCATTTTCTAACTCTCAATTTCTGTTTACTTCTTAACACAGATTCTATTCTTACTACAATCAGAAACTTTCCCTGATATCTCCAGGCCACCTGAAATTTTACCTCTTCTGAATATAAGAGCAAGCTAAATACTTGAGTCTTTTATTTTATTGTAAATAACAAAGCAGAGGCAAGTATTAATAATCTATGTATACCACTGTCATCAACTTTATCTGCCTACTATGTGAAATGCTCGAAAGTTTGGACTTGGCCATTTTCCTTTCAAAAGTACTTACTAAATTGAGAGTTGAAAAAATAGAAAATTTTAATTAGACAGGAATGTGATTCAAATTGTAATCCTTGCATATGAGAGATAGGTGGGGGGGGGGGGGAATCCATTCCAGCTCTACATAGGCCCTCCTCTACCCTCAACAAGCTAGGTGTGGTCTCCACAACCATAAATAAAATTTTAATTAGTAACATTGACTGATTAAAAGCAAGTTATCACCTCAGAAAGATTCTTTATTTTCTCTTTCTTCCTATATTTTCCTATTTTTCTCTGTCTCCTTATCTCAATTTCTTCCTGGCTCTGTTACACCTTTTCATTTGTTATTCCAGATTCTTGTAGCCCCAATCAATTCATTGTTTTTCTTTTGTTTCTTCTTTCCAGCTATCACCCAGGTTTCAATCCTTTCTCCATCCCTCCCTTTTCATTTGCACTCTTCTTACCTGTTCACACCAGAGGAAAACACCATCAACTTCTTTTGAATCCCATGACAGCAGAGCAAACCAGTGCCCAAAGGTGAAGGTTTTATAAGCACCTTAGAAGTGTCACCATGCAGCAGAGTTATTTGGATTTGTGAGGATATTGGTTGTAGCAAGAATAATGGGACCCATATAGACATATCATTTCCAAGCACAGCTTCAAATCTTACTTTCAGCCCCAGGCAAACCTGATATATCAAGGACTATAAACAAGTCTGACAGTAATGGGTGTCTTCAAAAACTACCTGCCTTTGTCAGATTACTACAACTATCAATTTTCACCCTGCCTTGGGCTACAGGTTCACAGCCAGGAAGTTTCCATGAATTTAAGAGTGGGGTCAGGAAAGTGCAATTATCACACTTTTCTGCATAAATCTCTATTCTCTCTTACAGGTATCATTGTCCTCTATTACCATGCCCCTCCTCTTACCCTTAACATCTACCCTAAAAAGCCATTCTATTAACTGAGTCATATCTGCAGCTGACCTTCCCTTGTAAACGTAATTAAACTAACATTTGATCCATTCATGATTCATACCATAACTCACACTATGCCCTTAAAATACAATCTTATTTTTTCATTATCAGGCTTAATGGATAAGTATTATTATTAAGTATTTCACACATAGGAGTTTTTAACTATTATAATTAAAATTTTTGAGGTAACATGGTTTAGAGCAGTGTTAATGTTACTGCTTTGAACTACAAAATTATTACACTCCATTACCACCACCAAAGTGACAAAAATCCTTCACCACTGCCCTTACTTCTAGTCAGGGAGAATTTAAATAATGTTAATCATTTAGAGATTATCAAGTTAGAGGTGAGGGATATACTTCAATTGGCTGCACCTCATAGCTGCATGTTTGAGAACCCAAGGTTTATTCGTGGCACTGAATGATACCCAGCACAGATGGGCCCAGGCAGTACTACATCACTGGGCTGAACACTGACCCGTCCTGCTGGCATAACCAAGTTGAGTATCGTGGGAGTGAACCTAGGGTCTCCTGAACAATGCTTAGAAGACACCAAAAGTAAAATTTAAAAATTAAGATAAAAGTTAGCAAGTTCCAGAGCTGGTCTTCAATTCCATATCTTTTATTTTCTTTTATATTAAAATCCCCTAATACTTACTCTGCATCCACAAGGAAAGAATTCTTGTGGAAGTTGCAATAATTTATTGCAACTTGGATTGAGCTATAGAATTTCATGTTAAGTGCAGTAAACCAGAAGGGCAAGGACAAATCACAATGTTCTCATTAATCTGGTATAGAGAAGAACATGTTTAGGCAGGGAAGGTATCAAAAGTGAGCAAAACATTGGCTCTATATTAGAGGAACAAAAACACCAGGGAAGGAAGAAATAGATGGATGGAAAGAAGAAGAGATGAACTAGAAGTAACAGAAGGACATTGTCAGGGGTCTTGGCTTCATCTGTGGTATAGAAGTGAGGCACCTGTATATATCTAAACCTCTAGACCTTACACTACTATAAACACACCAAGGAAACTAAAATAAGTAAATTTTTAAATGCCTGTGAAGGATACAGGTTGGTGTATGAAAGGAAACTTGGGATCATTGGTGAAGGAATGAAGACAATGGTAGATGAATTGGAGCTAGGGATACTCCATGCATGAAACTCTATTGTGAGCAAAATTGTAAATCATGGTATCTAAATTTGAAATTTTTTTCAATTGGAAGGTGATTAGGACCACACCTCACAGTGCTCAGAGCTTACTCTGGATCTGTGCTCAGGGAGCACTCTTGACAGTGCTCAGGGAACCATATAGAGTACTATAAGTTCGAGTGCATCAGCAGCCTGATGGTGCCTTCAGACTTCCAGATACCCCAAAATTGCTGCTGTGCCTTTGGCCAGACCCCAAAAACTTGGGGAAAAGTTTACCAGGAAAGCAAATGGCCAAAAGTTAGGTATGTGGGAAACACACCCACAAAACATCTCGGGCTCAGCTGTATAATTGGAAGCATGGCCTCTCCGGTTCCTGATTGAACTGTTAAATGGCCATGATCCCACAGACTCAGAAACAAATCTCGAAACCCAGCAGTTTTTGGCAGAAATGCGTCCAGTCCCTGCAGTAGGTTACCGGTGCTGGGCCAACCCAGGTGGGAATAGGTTTCGTGCCTTGGCCTGATCCCCCCGGCAGCCCAGTGGCCACCATCCTCTAGAGGCCACTGGACAGTCAGGTTTGGGCCCCCAGTGACGAAACATGCAGGGCCTCACGGGATGGGGGTGAAGCCGGTCCTGTCCTCCCCACCCCAATGAGACCCCAAGTCATCACCAGAAAAAATGTTCTTGATCTTAACCAATGAATTATATTACTTATATGCTAAACTTCTTTCATTCATATGTAGGTAATGTTTTAATACATGGATTATCATTAGTATAGGTGTTTTTGTTTGCAATTGCAAACCCACATCTGATTCACATGTTATTTTGTCTATAGATTTTTCTCACCACAGTAGTCAGTACATTAATAATCCTGGTGATATCTAATAATGTTTTTACCTTTTCACTAAACATACACATATGACTAATAGTATGTTTATTAAGAACACTTGGCAAAATTGATTATATTTTGAGTATATAAAAGATGAAGTTACAGTAAATTTTACACTGAAAAGAATGTTCAAATTGACATGCTACTATCCTTTTCCTTTAGGTTCCATCAGCAGAAAAAAGTTGTAAAAAATTTTCAAACGAATCTTATTAATATTAAATATAATACACTGGAGCATGGGATCATTCTTTATATATTATAGTTTTCACACATTTGCTAATTCAAAAACACATAGAATATGTGTCTACACTATACCTTGAACTATGTAAGTACTTGGAAGAGACTAATATGAAATTAAAAGAACCCTTATTCTCACAAAATTTTATACTGAAATCTAAAGAACAATCTTTAGTTATCCATGTCATAGAATCTATCACACTTTCTTACACCCTGCATGCTATCTCTATAACTCTTTATATTCTTTATTTCACCTTTGTAAAATAAAATTATTGAAGATATATATTAATACCTAAAATACCAAAACGAAATTAATGACATCATTAGTATTAAATACCAAAGTGGGCATAATAAAGAAAAAAATCTGAGCTTTTTTCTTAATTTTGTGACTTTAAAAATAATGCCATGCAATGGAACACTACTCCATTATAAAGCAGAACTAAATTGCTAGTATGTGACACTCTTAAAGAAATAAGAATTAGGGTTAAAATCAAATTAGAGTTTAGCAGAGTTAGGTACAAACAGAGGGATTGACTGCAAAGTAATAATAGGTGTAAATTTGGTAGAATGATGTAACTTCTCTATAATCTTGGTGATTATATGACTGAAAGGATTTGTCAGAATATATAGAAATATATACTTCTAAGAGTAAATTTTATTGTATATGAATTTGGTGGCCTTACCTGGTGGAATTCAAGGGCTACTCCTGACTTAGTATTCAAGGGTGACTCCTGTTAATAGGATCAAATACAGAGCCAGGGATCAAAGCCAGGCTTCCCACATGTAAAACAAGAACTCCAGTCCTTTGAGTTATTTTCCTGGCATTAAAGTTTATAATTTTATCAAGTTATGTGAGGTAATTTCATATTATTTTCAGAACAACTTTCATTAGATTTGCTGTGTTTTGTTTTTAGTTGTGTGTGTGTGTGTTTGTGTTTTTTTTTGTTGTTGTTTGTTTTAGTTTTGATTTTGGGGTCACATTCAATGGTTAACAGGGTTTACTCTTGGCTCTATACTCAGGAATCACTTCTATAAGGGGCAGGGTATCAGTGGGATATCAGGGATTGAATTTACATTGATCACATGCAAGGCAAGCACCTTACCCACTGTGCTATCTTTCCAGCCTATCTTTCAGATTTCTTATGTTTAGTGCTATGAACTATATTCTTCAATCTTTGAACAATAACTAGGAGATAAAATTGACTATTTGTATTTAAATTCAAGAAGGAAAAATTAAGTAATTTTTTAAAATTCAGTTCCTTGGTCACACTATCAAAGTTTCGAGTGGCCAATATTCATATATCTAGTATTAAGCAAAAGAAATATGTAACATTTCCATCACTGCAAAAATTCCTATAATACAGTACAATATTTGATATTCTTCATGACTTGACTTCATTTTCATAGAAGTAGTAGACATTACTAAGGACCAATCTTACCCCGACAGAACATTCGGACAATTCTCTTTCGAATCTGCTTAGTCCTAACACTATACACAATTGGATTAAGAACAGGAGGCAATAGCAAGTAGACATTGGCCATAAGTGAGTGCACAACTGGAGATAAATGTTTCCCAAAGCGGTGAATCAGAGTCATGCCTATGAGAGGCACATAGAACAGCAACACTGCACAGATATGAGAGAGGCAGGTGTTGAGAGCTTTGAGTTTCTCTTCCCGGGAAGCAATCCCCAATACAGCTTGGAGGATTAGAATGTAAGATATCAAAAGGATTAAGGCATCTAATACAATGATGAAGATAACAGCCAACAGGCCATAGATGCTGTTGATGCGGGTGTCAGCACAGGCAAGCCTCATAGCATCCTGATGGAGGCAGTATGCATGGGAGAGGACATTGGAGTGGCAGAAAGGTAGTCTTTTGATGAGAAAAGGCACAGGGAGCACAGCGCTCACACTTCGAAGCAGGACCACTGCTCCAATCTTACCGATAACATCATGTGTGAGAATAGTAGCATAGCGCAAAGGGAAGCGAATAGCTACAAAACGATCAAAGGCCATAGCCACCAGAACACCCGATTCAACTCCCCCAAAGGTATGGATGAAGAACATCTGAGTGATGCAAGCATCAAAAGTTATTGAGCGCCAGTTGAACCAGTGAACACTGATCATGGTGGGCATGGAAGACAGTGAAAGACTGAGGTCAGTGGCAGCTAGCATGGCTAGAAAATAATACATGGGCTCATGAAGACTTTCCTCAATTTTGATGATGACCAGGATAATGAGATTGCCAAGTAATGTGGTACCATAAAGAAGAAAGAGGGGCAAGGCCATTAAGAAGTCTCTTTCTGGCATTCCTGGTAGCCCAGTCAGGGTGAAGGTCTGGTGATTATGAGATGTCTGGTTGACTGGTGACATAATGGAATGCAGGTTTAACTAGATAAAAACAGAAAAACAAATATTAGGTTAAAATATTTCTATTAAACTCAGTGGTAATAAGTAATGAGATGATAGTCACAGAGGGAATGATTCAAATGTTATTTTTACAGGGGCCACATCCCTCAGTACTGAAAGGTACAGGGCCCTTCTAGGGGTGCTTTATTTAAAAAAAAAATTTAACAACTCATGTCTACTATCTGATGCAGAAATGCATAGTCCCATCACATGAGGCACCTATATGACAATAATGCTATTACCAATTATTGTTATATCATATATATATATATATATAATATGAGTGTAATCCTCTGCCAATATAATGCACCTATCAGGTACATTAAAACATGAAGGAGTGAGCCGGATTAATAGCACAGTGGGTAAGATGTTTGCCTTTCACACTACCAACCCAGGTTCTATCCCTGGCATCACATACAATTTCCCACGCTGTCCAAGAATGATCCCTGAATACAGATTCAGGCATAAAAATGGGAGGTGTGGACCCAAACAACAATAAAAACCATGAAGGAATTATAGGAAGGTTTTGACAATACACATTTGCAAGACTAATAAACACTGAAAGCAATAATGAATCTTAATGGCAATATTAGCAAACATAAACATGATATAGGACTGTTCATAAATAGAAATGTGCTAATGTATATATGTGCATATAGTCTGCTTGTGATCGTGAAATATTGTGAATTAGAAATCCTGAAAGTCAGTTTTTTTAACTTACGTAGTATGGAATGGAGGAGAAAAGATATTCTTTAATCATTTAAAAACTCTTACCTTATTTCTTTTTGTTGTCATAGAGATATTTCTTCAGATAGAAATAAACTTAGCATCTATGTTTAATTATTCTAAACATCACATAAATTTTGATATCATTTACCAAAATTGAGTAGAAGACTGGCAATTATTTTTTGAGTTTATACTGAAGATTAATTTTCTAGCTATCTTTAGTGGTATATTCTCAAAAATATTTATTTAATGCTCTTGAAAATAAATGACAAACATGTTTTAGAATGGGGAAGCAAAGACAAACCTGAGTGTACTGAACCATTGTGGCTATGATCACTAGTCATCTGAGAAAGGACATGGGGAAGGAATATATATATACAAATATAATTAAAAAGAAACCTTTGTTACTAGGTAACAGGGTTTATAAACTTTAAAAAAACCAAATTAAACTCTATTTCTAGGAGTGAATGAGTGTTAAAATCTGATTTTTCAGTTGATGAGGTAGAAATTTCTTAGCACTCTAGAAACTTTAGAAACAGCCATCATCATAAGGTTTCCAAGATTGTCACATGTGAATCTTGAAGTCTGTGAATATGTTGGTTTTTATTGCAAAAAGCACATTTATAGATGGAATGTTGGAGTGGAGACTTTGTCTTGATTATCCAAGCAAGTCATGTACAATCATATGGATCTTAAAGCATGAAAATTTTTGCAGCTTCGGAAAACCAGAGAGGTAATATCATGATAAAGATTCAATATTTCTTATTATTTGTGACAGCAAAAATTAAGCAAACCAGGGACAAAATACTGTGGATAGCTAAATAATTTTGATAAAGCTCGGGTCAGAGAGATACCATAGTTGTCAGGGCACTTACCTTACATGCAACTGACCTGGGTTCTACACCCTGCATCCCATTTAGTCCCTTGAGCACTGTGAAGAGTGATTCCTGAGTACGGAGTCTGGAATAACCCCTAAGCACAGCTAGGTGTTACAACCCACCCCTCACTCTCAGTCAACAAGAAAAAGAAATTAGAAAAAGATTAAGGAAAAAAATATTTTCTGTATCACCTTAAGATAGAAAAAGATTCTTTATTGTTATCACTTTGTTATCACTGTATGTAAAAGTAACACAACAATCAGAAAAAACTTTAAACTTAAATTCAGTTGTTCTAATCACTGCATTTTAAATTTATATTTATTCCTGTAGCAGAGGATTAATTTTTAGTCAACTTCTACCATTGTATTCAAATTCTAGAGCAAATAAAACTGAACTCAACACATCTGATTTCCTTTACCATTTGATTTTTTTCTATGAATTTCCCATACAATTATTCTTTCTATTCTGTGACAAATCTACAGAGAAAGCACCACCCCGGTTCAGGGATATTCCCCAACTTACCTGAAGTCTAATCTAGAAAAAGTGAGTTCTATCTGATTCTGCAACTAGAGGCACAGGGAGAGATTTAAACCAGCGACTCTCCAGCCCAGAATGCTCTCTGCTACAAATCTCCAGAGATGCAAACATCAGTTTTCTAAAGAGCTCCCTTAGTTTCAAAAGCTATGTCGAATCAGGCTTCTGAGAACGTTGGGCTTCTTCTCTCAGGACTTGGCTTTCTCTAATGCATACTTGTGACTACAACCACCCGAATGCAAACTGATTTCAGTCCTATTTGAATGAAACTTTATGAGCAAGAGAAATACACAAATAAAAATCTAATGTAGTGGTGCTAATCCCCACCCCCGCCACAATGGAGGTCTCACTCTAATGAGAGTTCTTTACCTTTTGGGATTTGGGTCCATAATCAATGGTGTTCAGGTGCTTTCCAGACTCAGGGATTAATCTTATGGTGCCTGGAAAACATGTGTTTCAACTTGCTGAGTGATCTCTACAGCTTTCAAGTATTCTTAACTCTCCAACATTAATTCTTTTTAAAAATCAGTATGTATTTTCTATTTTTTGTTTTCAACGTCATATATTCAAATTTTTGTTTTGGGCTGGAGTGATAGCACAGTGGAGTAGGGCGTTTGCCTTGCATGTGGCCAACATGGCCAACCAGAGTTCAATTCCTCCGCCCCTCTCAAAGAGCCTGGCAATTGTGCTACTGAGAGTATCGCGCCTGCTCTGCAAAGCCTGGCAAGCTACGTGTGATGTATTCGATATGCCAAATACAGTTACAAGCCCCACAATGTTACTGGGCCAGTTTGAGCAAATCAGTGAACAATGGGAGTACAGTGACAGTGACAGTGACTTGGTAATTTATGCTTCACTACTAGAAATACGATTACACATATATTTCTCTATGGATGCTCCACAAACACTTGAGAATATATATTTCCTCTCTAATATTTGAATTTCTCTAATATTTTAATTTGGCATATTATTATTTATCCTTCAAGTTCACAGATTATTTTTCTTTTATCTTAAATATGCTATAAGTCTAAATAGTGATTTTTAAACTTTGGTTTATTGTAAGTTTTATGATTTGGGTTTTTTATCATAGTTTATATTTCTTAATGAATTTCCCCATTTTCTAAACCACTATAATCGTATTTTTAGTTTATGAAACTTTTTAACACATTTAGAATACAGCTCTGAATTATTGTTCATCTCTAAAATCAACTAGTATGAACTCTTTTTTTTATCAGATGCTATATCCAATGACTATTTTTATGTTTCATGATTTCCTTCTTATTTGTAAATCTCAGAATTTAAACCTTTTTTAGATCTTGTGAAACTTTATTGTAAACTTCTTTTATTAATTGAGGTACTATGCTTTTAAGAAGTAGCTAATAAGAGTTTCCTATGTACATAATTCCAACACTACACCCATCACCAGTGTACCCACCTTTATCCACTTCCCCCAATGCTTCTCTATTTCATTGCCCCCATATACAAATTCAATTTAGTGGATCAGTTCTCTCATGTGTTGCCTTTGACCCTCTGTTGCTGTCTTGCTGTATATCTTTAGTCCCAGATATGATCTTTCATATCTTAGATCACTCTGTATCTGTCTTTCCTTCTGACTTCATAACGACACCTGACTGATTTAGCATGATATCCTCTAGTTTAGTCCATATCATGGCAAATTACATGATTTTGCTTTTTTCTCGGAGCTGCATACTTTTCCATTATGTACCACAGCATCCATCTGTACAGAGCATTTTGGGCTGTTTCTATATCTAGGCTATTGTAGAAATCCTCAAAACTTTTAAACTAAATATTTTAGATACTGAAGGATAGAAAGCCTAAATTCTTTAAGTATTTTAGTGCATTTTAAAATTTTTAATTAACTTTTTTCTGTTTTATTTTATTTCAAGAATATTGTTACAGAAAAGAATTTTGTTCTGCTTTCTTCTGACAGAAATTCCACACAGTCATCTCCATCTAAAAACATTTAGTACCTCCAAACCCAGCTCAGGGTGAATCACAATCATTTTCATGACTGAAACTGAGAAGGACTTTGGAGTTAAAAGAGATGGACCAATGTGGCTGAAGTACTATACTTATTTGGTGTTTTTACATAAATAATGTGTACAATCTATCCGGGTACTATATTGGGAAAGAAGCAGTTTCTTCTTTATTCAAACTTAACAGAGACATAATGAAAAAAATTAAGATAATTATAGCAGATAAAACAAAAATTACAGATTAAATGTGGGTTCAAATTTCCTTATAGAATCAGCATAGAATCAGGTTATGCTATAAAATCCCCACACACATATGTCACAGGGAGCATCCAGAGAAGTTGTAAAATAGTTGTAGGGTCAAAAGGGGCACAGGCATCAACAGGCCTTTGGAGAAGTCTTCATAAATGCCCTGCTTGCAATCCTCAGGAAGAAGAAAGGAAAAACTAGCTCTAAACAGGATTACATATGTGGATACAGGTAATAAATGAACGAAAGGTATAATTATTTTGTATATTTTGGGAATTAAAGTGCTTGCCTTGCACACATCTGACTCAGGTTCTATCTCCAGCATCACATGGTCCCCTGAGAACCAGTGGGAGTCACCCCTAAAAGCCAAACTGGGGGTAGCGCACCGCCCCCCAAAAAAAGTCTACATATACTACTTTTCTTTTTACTGGGGGGGTGTGGTGGGACATACCTGGCAGTGCTCAGGGCTTAGTCCTGGCTTTGCTCAGGTCACTCCTGGCAGGGCTTCGGGGAGCATAAGGTATTGGGGATCAAGCACAATTGTTTAAGGTAAGCACCCTACCCACAGTACTGTCGTTTCAGC